GAAAAGAATGTTTGGAGCGGCGAGGCCAGGATGGCGGAGTAGTCAGACGCTTCTGGTGGTCCCTCTTACAACAAAGACCCCAAAAAACAAGTGAATCAAATATATGTGACAATCTAGGGGCCCTGAACATCAAAGGTAAAGTTGAGGAATTGGACTGAGTGGCAGGGGGAGGGAAAGACGGTTGAGAAGCAGGGAGGATTTGCCAGACCTGACCTGGTGAGAGCCTGAGCCCTTCAGGCCAGATCAGCTCGGGGGTGAGTGGATCAGCTCGGGGGTGAGTGGTGAGGCAGGCAAGCAGCGGCACTCCAGAGGCATTTTCCACACCGGGAGAGACCCAGTGGCAGAGAGTCTACTTGGCCATCCAGAACCAGTGAGAAACAGCCCTCTATCAGCAAAAGATAAGTACTTTTGTGTCTGGCCTACCGCGCAGATCAAAAACACCCCCCTTAGGGAAAAACCTCTCTCCCATTTATCTCCCTGCTCTGCACTGGGTCCAGGACCGGCTTCAGCAATTGCTGAGTCCCCTGGGCCCGAAGTAGGACCTGTCACGCACCCTGAGCCATTCTCCCAGCCTTGGAGAGTGAACAAATTAACAAATGGGAAAAAATAATCTGCCGGCTTCCCTAAGCCAGGAATTCAGGGTAGGCACAGGTCCTTGGCCTAGGCACAGGCATAAGGGATCCATGGACTTTGAGTGCCTTTCCCCCCGAATAGACTTGTGTGGGCCCATTGCAACAGCATAGGCCCTCATTAACTCAGTACAACAGGGTCTGTACCTGAAGTCTAACTTCAGCTGTTTCAGCTGTGAAGTGGCAGGTTCGTGACATTTGACACTGCTCTGCCCATTAAGCAGAGTTTTCACGTACCCACATCAGGAGCCTGAGGACTGGTGGCTCCACCCGTGACAGAGGCCCAAGAATAGGAGATGCCCCCCAGTCCTTACAGCCAACAGCACTGGGTGCTTATAGTCTGGCTGCAAAACCCAACCATCTACACACCCTAGGGAACAGGGACACGCTTTCCTCCTGGATACTCAGGGGTGGCCATTGTCCCCCTGCCTTGCCTCAGCCAGTGTCCACCTGCTGCAGCCGGATGCCTGTGCCTACACCAATCACCCATGCCTGTCTTGAACTGTAGGTGAGAGCCTGTACCACACACTTGGTGGCTGACTACGTGGACACCTGAGCTGAATCCATACAGGAGGAGTGGGCAGACACCTGGGCTCATATACTTAGTGACAGGTCTGGCCACCTAAGGGCAGGACATTGCAGCTTCAGGGGTGCTGGTGACTGGGTTAGCACACACGAGCAGCCTATCTGGACATATCAAAACAAAACAAAACAAGAAGCTAGGACACAGTAAGCAAATATAAAATAAATAACTTATTGATGGCTCGGAGACAACTGTCAATATCAAATCACATAAAGAGGCAGACCATGATGGCTTCAGCAAACTCCCAAAATAATCTAGAAATTATCCAGAGGAAGAAAATTTTTTGGAATTACCAGAGGCAGAACACGAAAGATTAATATACAGAAAAAGAGATTAGGAAGGAAATTAAGCAAAACGCAGAACATGCAATAGAGGAACTTAAGGTTAGAGAACAACATTATGACAAATTTAAACAAGCTGTATGACTCCACAGAGAGCAATCAGAAATCCAGAAGATTAACGATAAAATTTCAGAATTAGACAACTCAATAGAAAGTCATGTGTCTTAGTCATCTAGTGCTGCCATAACAGAAATACCACAAGTGGATGGTTTTAACGAACAGAAGTTTATTTCCTCATAGTCAAAGTAGGCCAAAAGTCCAAATTCAGGGCGTCAGCTCCAGGGGAAGGCTTTTTCTCTCTGTCCGTCTTCTCTTCGGTGTTCCCCTGGACTAGCAGCTTCTCTGCACAGGGACCCCAGTCCAAAGGACGCGCTCTGCTCCCGGCACTGCTTTCTTGATGGTATAAGGTCCCCCTGTCTCTCTGCTCACTTCTGTCTTTTATATCTCAAGACATTGCCTCAGGATACAATCCAATCTTGTAGACTGAGTCCTGCATTACTAACACAACTGCCACCCATCCTCCCTCATTAACATCATAGAGGCAGGATTTACAACATACAGGAAAACCACACAATACCAGGAATCATGGCCCGGCCAAATTGATACACACATTTTTTTGGGGGACATAATTCAAACCATGACAGTCATGGGAGCAGAACTGAGGCAATGGAAGTCAGAATTAGTGAGACTGAAGATAAAGCACTTGACTTCAACTTATTTGAGGAAAACTCAGATAAAAAGATTTAAAAAAAAATGAAGAAACCCTAAGAATTATGTGGGATTCTATCAAGAGGAATAACCTACGAGTGATTGGAGTACCAGAACAGGGGAGGATAAGAGAAAATACAGAGACAATTGTTGATGATTTGTTGGCAGAAAACTTCCCTGGTATCATGAAAGATGAGAAGATATCTATCCAAGATGCTCATCGAACCCCACATAAGGTAGATCCCAAAAGAAAGTCACCAAGACATATTATAATCAAACTTGCCAAAACCAAAGATAAAGAGAGAATTTTAAGAGCAGCTACGGTGAAACAAAAAGTCATCTACAAAGGAGGGTCAATAAGTTTGGACTACACAGCAGAAACCATGCAGGCAAGAAGACAATGGGATGACATCTATAAAGCCTAGAAGGAAAAAAACTGCCAGCCAAGAATTATATATCCAGCAAAACTGTCTCTCAAATATGATGGCGAAATTAGGGCATTTCCAGATAAACAGAAGTTTAGGGAATTGCAAAAACCAAACCAAAATTACACGAAATACTAAAGGGAGTCCTCCAGTTAGAAAATCAGTAACAACAGATAACAACTCAACACTAGAACACAGGGCAGAGCAACCAGATATCAACCCAGATAGGGAAGTCACAAAAATAAATCAAAGCTAAAACACTGAAAATAGGGAAACAGATGTCAATATGTAAAAGATGACAACATTAAAACAAAAAAGAGGGACTTAAAAAATGTAGACATAGATTTTGCATATGGAGAGAAGTCAAGGCGATATAAAGAACTAAAAGACTGGTATGAACTTAGAAAAATATGGGTAATTACTTCAGATAACAATCCAAGACTAGAACACAGGACAGAGTAACCAGATATCAACCCAGACAGGGAAGTCACAAAAGCAAATCAAAGCTAAACACTGAAAATAGGGAAACAGATGTCAATATGTAAAACATGACAATATTAAAACAAAAAAGAGGGACTTAAAAAATGTATACACAGATTTTTCATATGGAGAGGAAGTCAAGGCGATATAAAGAAATAAAAGACTGGTATAAACTTAGAAAAATAGGGGTAAATATTAAGGTAACCAGAAAGGAAACTAACAATCCTACAAGCCAAAATTAAAAACAAGAAAAATATAAAGACTCAGCAAATACAAAATCAACAACAATGAAAAAGATGAAAAGAAAATGCATAAAGAAAAACAACTCAGCACAGAAAATTAAGTGGAACAAAGAAACTGTCAACAACACACCAAAAAAAGACATCAAAACGACAACACTAAACTAAACTCATACCTGTTAATAATTATGCTGAATGTAAATGGACTAGATGCACCAATAAAGAGACAGAGAGTGGCAGATTGGATAAAAAAACACGATCCATCTATAAGCTGCCTAGGAGAGACACACCTTAGACTTAAAGACGCAAACAAACTAAAACTCAAAGGATGTAAAAAAATATATCAAGCAAACAACACTCAAAAAAGAACAGGAGTGGCAATATTAATCTCTGACAAAATAGACTTTAAAGTAAAATCCACCATAAAGGATAAGAAGGACACTATATAATGATTAAAGGATCAGTCCACTAGGAGGACATAACTACAATAAATATTTACGCACCCAACAGTAGGGCTCCAAAATACATGAAACAAACTCTAACAGCATTGAAAAGAGAAACAGACTGCTCCACAACAGTAGTAGGAGACTTCAACACATCACTTTCGGTGAAAGACAGAACATCCAGAAAGAAGCTAAATAAAGACACGGAAGATCTAAATACCACAATCAACTGACTTGATCTCACAGACATATACCGAACACTCCACCCAAGAGCAGCCAAGTATACTTTCTTTTCCAACGCATATGGAACATTCTCCAGAACAGACTACATATTAGGCCATAAAGCAAGCCTTAACAAAATCCAAAATATCAAAATATTACAAAGCATCTTTTCTGACCATAAAGCCATAAAAGTGGAAATCAAAATAACAGAAGAAACAAGGGAAAAAAAAAATCAAACACATGGAAACTGAACAACACCTTGCTCAAAAACTACTGGGTTACAGAAGAAATTAAGGATGGAATAAAGAAATTCATAGAATCAAACGAGAACGAAAACACATCCTACCAGAACCTTTGGGACACAGCAAAAGCAGTGCTCA